AAAGATTGAAAATAATTATACATATATGTATACGTCCGTGTACATCCTTTTGCATACGCTCATGTAAGCACATATATTATTACAAAGAAGAGAGGAATCGGTTGCGAGAAACGGTTTGCTCTGTGTGAAAATGTGCATGGAATAGTAGCATACAATCTGGTACCTCCATGGGCACATGATTTTATGACATCAAAGACGTCGTTTTCTCGCCGTCCTGTTTTTTCAGCCCTGTGCCTATTACACCCTCGGCTAGCATTAATTGTGCATGCGCAGGAATGGGAAGCACAAACACTAGCAGGTGAGTGAGCAAAATATATAGACAAGGAAATGGTCCACGCAGGGGTAACTTGTGACTCACGTATGGAAGGGTTATAATCGCTGCTTACATCACGTAGAATCAGATGGCGCGCACAAGAATTGACTCGTTTACAACACTTTTTCGACATCAAGACATGCACGCAGTGTAAGCACCCGTAAAATTAGGACACTTATCTCAGTGTTGCAAGGTCGTCACCTTTTTTTTTTTTTTTCTTACCCCTACATACGGATAGCTAGTTAAGTACACATCTATGTGAGTATATATGCACAAACCGATCAAGTGTAAAAAAAAAAAAGAAAAAATAATTACGATGAGATGCACACAAGCACAGGTATACATAACAGGGTAACTACGCTATTGTAGTCACTGCAGTGTAGCCTTCCCAGTGTTGCCCTGCTTACGCAGCCCTGCTTTTACGTGCGACCAAAACCCGCACGCTAAGGTACGCTCGCTCAGCGCATAAACGGATGCAGCGCCTAGGACGTGCCATTCGCAAATGATAGACTTAAGAGAATCACACAGCCAGTCAAACCCTCGCCAAACATAAACACTTTGTGCACGAAGTAGTGGCTATCTGTACCTGCACATAAATCTGTGCAGTGCATGTGGTAGGTAAGGTAAACAACTTTTTGCATGTATGTCCAGGGAACACTGTACGTAGGATTATTCCGTACATACAAGTCACACGCACAAATGGGCATGCAAAGAGTCCAGCGTAGAAATGTACATAGGAAAAAAAGGCAACCTCTCGCTAACTTTGAAAACGTATCAAACATAAAAAATGAGAAAAAACAAGAAAAAAAAAAAAAAGAACTCATAATCTGCTGAGCAGGTATATTTCTATACCATACGGAAAAGTCAAAGTAAACGGACAGAAGCGACGCCAATTTTTGTCACAAAGTATAATTTGTAAAGCTAGTAAACACTATCAGGAAAAAGGGAAAAACAAAATAAAAAAGAACGAGCTTCTAAATGCGTCAACGGAACAACAATAAAAAGTGTCACCTCGGACAGGGTGATAAGTACACATGATTAACAATTATAAATGGACAACAAAACTACAAGAGGGCAGAAATAAATTATAGCAATGTAACAACAAAATGGAAGTGAATCACAATGAAGAGATATAAAGGAAGCTACCTAAAGAGGAGTCGCAATAAGTGACAGAGACAAGGCAACCTAATGACAGTAGCGTGAACAGCTGTTCGTAAGGCACATATACATGTGCAAGGTTTTCTCTGTCGCGCTTGACAAAAATGCCAGAAATAGATAATCGTGGGAAAACGCCAGTTGTCTGGAATTTCTCAACGTGGCACACAAGGAAGCTGCTCCAAGCCGTCAGGTCAGAAGTTGTTCCTACAGGTCAATGCTTATACAACCCTTGCGCACGCTTTTGTACATACACACGTATATGGTTACATACGCACATGCATGTACATATGGGCATGTAAAAATCGCGTAGGTGTTACTCCTGAGGGGTAAAGAACGTGCACTTGTGAATAGTCGGAAGGATTAGCTCACTTTGCATTTAAAAAAAAAAAAAAAAAATACACTGTGGTGTAGTGCGACATCGCACAATACAGCTGACCACAGTGCGACACTCCTTTAAGAGCGAATCGTTGCGTAATCTCCAGGCGACGCGCAATCACGCACGGGGTTTACGCACCTTTTGGGTGCATGCACAGTTTAGTAAGACAAAAAAGGTGTTCACGCGAGGGGGTGATGTAAAATTAAAGTTACAATTAAAGTGATAATTAAAGTGATAATTAAAGTGACAATTAAAGTTATAATTCAAGTTATAATTAAAGTTATAATTAGAATGAAAATGAAAATAATTGTGGTGCATCGAAACAGGGCGTCGCGGAGGTGTATGCAAATATATTTATATAAACGGGCCCAAATTTACCAAGTTCGTGTACTAACAGAGATGACACATTGACACGAATTAACAAACGAGAAGTGACTCAGCAGGGGTTCTTCTCCTCTTCGCACGCAAAATGATCTGTCGCAGTGGTCACTGTACGTTCATGAAAAAGTCACGCGAATAAGTTTATGATCTGCTGCGCGCCCCCTTTAGAGAACTCTGGGGTGAGAATAAATGAAACGGCAAAATAGCATCAGCGTTAGGAGAACCTTTAAAAAGAGATTTAAAAAGAATGCTCTCGAAAGCTCAAAAGGATTGTAAAGTATTTGATGCGATGAATTCTAACATTGAAAGAAGCACCGCGCAAAAATGAGTAATAAATTCTACACAAAATGGGTAACTGAAAAAAAAAAAAAAGAGGAGCATATAAATAATGTACATATATGCATGCGTTATGCATACTTATTTGTTAATACAATAAAAACCAGTTCACAAAAAAAAAAAAACGTAGAAAGCCTCGAAATCGCAATTTTGATGCCTCTATGAAAAAAAGAGGCCTATACTACTGTGTCACGCATGGTAAGATAACACACTGTGTAAACTATTTTGCCTCTACTTGTGCTTTCGAAAATGACATGGAGTAAGAAACAAGGCACTATGAATTAACGCCTATGCTTGGTGTTTTCCGTTCAGCCACACGCTAAATGTCAGGCAGTACACGAGTTTATATGTTTGTATGGACTCATATGTTTATGTAAATTTGCATACATGTGTGGCCATAGAGATGTATACACCATTTACGCACGCATGCATTCACGCGCATGACGTGTGTCAGGGCTTAAAAATTAGCGCGTCCATAACTTGGGACAAAATGAAACAAGCCGCCGGACGCGAAAATGGGCATCCTCAAATTTTCCGGGAAGCTTTGGTTGCTTATATTTTCAGGCGTCAGAGCGTTAAGTGAATAACGTGAAGATGGAGGAACGAACGGAGGAACCATCGAGTGGATCGATGCACACCTCTTCAAAGAAAGTCGTGTAAATGCAGATTTTTCCATGCAGTGGTGTCACGCAAAAATTAATGTTGCCACAAACAGAGCAACATGTTTTATGGATTCACAAAAGCAGGAACGAAAAAAATAAATAAATGAATAAAACATACACTTAAACCTGTGCTTAGACGGGTATATATACATATACATGCATACACGAATACAATTTTGCAATTTTACGACTTTCCTCCCCTTTTCTTACTCACACATTAAAGACAATAAAGTTAAAAGGGCTATCATATTTCTCCCATCAGCTTCATTTATGTTCAATCAACCAATCTTTTAACTTAACAAAATGGAGGGTAACATGGTTGACAAAATGGGGCACACGTGTAAAAACACGGAGTGCTGATGACCTACACAAAAGTGACATGTATTTTCTGTCAAAAATAGCCGCCTACACTTAAAAGGATAAAAGAAAAAAATGGGGGAAAAGAAAAAGAAATGATGTGTAATGTATTGTGCTATTCTATACTCTGCTATGTCGTAATGTGCTCTGCTCTGTTATTTATTTTTTTTTGTTTTTTGCACACACAAAATGAATGAAAAAAAAAAAAAAAAAGAAAAAGAAGAAATGGTGATCCAGGTAAGGATGAAGAAATTCCCAGACTAAGAATTAATGTAACCCCTTTTTACATGAACAAGCAATCAAATTAAAGTTACACAGGAAATTGTACAAGTATACATACATCTTTGAAGTCTTTTTTTTTTAAGCTCTAATTGACGGTACAATGTGAACACCAAGTATGGGGCTACATAAACGCGTTCACACTTTCACCATATGTATGTTATGTATATATACAAGCAGCCACAGATGTGTACATACATGTGTTCCTATCTGCCTACGTGTATACATTCACGAAGAAGTGGAAGCCTGGGGGCGTACTTACATGCCTCCTGTCGTGCTTGCATACCTACGGGTGTACTTACATACCTATGGAAACACGTGTTATACATATACACGTGCAGACTTATACATGTAAAAATGTGCAACTTTACATTGTCATAACCACTTCATCTTTCTACTTTTTTTTTTTTTTTTTCCCCTTCTGCCACAATTAGCCAGCGATACGCAGATACGTAGCTACATACAAGTTTTTTTTTTTTTTTTTTTTTGGCTAATAGGTATGTACATGCAGGTAAAAAAAAAAAAAAAAAAAAAGTTAGCAAATCTACAGGTAAATTAAAAGAAATAAACGAAATTAAAAATGGGAAATCCTTTAGAATTTACTTTGAAATTTTATGACTTTTTCTTTCTGATATACTCTATGTATAATATTTACACTTTGGTAATAAGGCAGATTAAAAGTAATGGGAAAAAAACTGTGGAGGTACATTTCTTGCAGAATAAGACAAAAAATGTTTCATAAAAGGAAGGCAAAAAGGGAATGAAAGTGGCTGCGTGGTGGATTATTTGCAAGTACAAAATGGCGTGAAGTGTGCTTTTTGTACGTTTGCGTTACTTGCTTATGTGGACGCGCACGTTTAGCACTTACGTTTTATCCTGTTTTCCGTGGTTGCATCGGTTATTTGTAAAGGGCGCAAAAATGAGCAAAGAAAACGTTCTGACGTTAATCCGATATAAGACTGCTCGTTTTTATATTATAAGCTTATGTTTTTTTTTTCTTTCTTTTTAAAACATTTCCTATTCCCTCTTAACGCTGTTATGTACATGCGTAATTATTCACACGCACGTATACATCTATGTATGTTCTTTTCTTTCTTGCTCATTCGGTGTGACTTGTCCTTCGAGCTTTATTTTGCCAGTTCGTTCGTCACCTCGTTCGTTCCGTCCCTTTAGCAAACCCTCGATCGATGGTTTCGAATTCGATTATTCTGCACGCATGGAGTTACACTGCCGGCGCGTGAAATATTAATTTCCCCCGACGGGTAACACTACTTCGACCGCGCTTTCTTTTGATTTGTTCAAAAAATATGTCTACCTCTCTGCGCACACCCCATTTCAAGGTGTACACCTTTGGTGGGGGTTCTTACCACAAAGAGGAATTTTTGCTCACTCTTTATTTCTTATGAGATTTCACATGTGAAACTAAATTCATACATACATACACATATATACATGTGTGTATTTTTTTCTTTAAATTAAATAAGGGTCACTTTTTTGTTTGAATCGAGTGACAAAAAATTACCAATTGCGTAACGTGGATGTTTCCATGGGGACGCATAGCGCTTATTTTTTTTTCTTTGCTCCCAGAACCCCCCACCAGAAAAAGAAAAGAACGATTCTGTGTTTATTCTTTTGGTTCATCTACAAAGAGGCGCATGCGTATGGGTATGTTAATGTGTACACGTGTAAGTAGTTATTTATTTTTTTTCATTCGCTTAGGTTCCTTCGCTTCTTCCCTTTTTTTATTGTTTTTTTTTTCTGCATTCGTCCGTGCCTCATCAAAATGTTTGACATTCTTAATATTCCACAACACGGCAGAAAGGGGTTCTTGACTTAAATAAATCACGAGTCGATTTTTAATGACATGTTTCGCTTACACAAGGAGTACATTCTACGCTGTCCACAGCTGCGACAGATTTCGTGACAATGCTGGAGGATTCAGCTGGAAATTTTGACCGAAAGATTGACCGGAAAATTCACCGAAATTTTGATTCGACATCTCAGTTCGGCGCCCGTTGCAAAGCATTTTGATGCTTAATTGAGTGCACCTATGTACATATCTATATGTGCAGGAATTCGCGCACCGACACGCGCGAATACAGACTGATGCGTGCATACGATGTATACGCATGCGCACGAACTGAAATGGTAAGCTGTACTGATACGCTGCACTGATATGCTGTGCTGATACGCTGTACTGACACGGTATATTGGTATGCTGTACTGATACACTGCAGTAATACACTGCATTGATACGCTGAATTGGATTTGTTACGCTTTTTGTTCAACTAAGATGTAAAAATGAAGATTAGTGAAAATGTCGCAATGATTTTCCTAATGGCATTACGATGATTTAAGGGGGAAATGTTAATTTAGCGAACGAGAAAGAAAACAAAAAAAAGAAAAGGAAGAAAAAGTCATCAAAGAGGGGGGCGGAAAAAGAGAACGAAGAAGATTAAGAAAATATAAACGGAAGGGTAAAGAAAAAAGCACACAAGGAAACAAAAATGGAAAAAAAAAAAAAGAAAAAGAAAAAATAGAAATTATAAAAGCATGGAAAAACTTTTGCATTCCTTTGTAATCCCTTTTACATGATTCCTTAAAAAGGAACGAAGTCATATTTTAGTGTTAGTTATTTTTCCCTTGTTTTTTTTTATAAGTATTGACAAATGCATATTTGAGCGATAAAGGGTCATATACCTCATTTGTATGCTTACTTTAACAACCTTTCAGGTGATAAAGAGTTGTTACAATAGGGGGAAAAAATGCATAGACGACACACAATTTTGCATGCGAAAAGAGAAGATGGTGTGTTTAATTCTGTAAATGAGAATCAACTAACAAGAAATAATAAATACGAACAGTAGGGTGACATTTTGCCTATAAAGAGAATCACCTCCACATGGGAATATTTTCCGGATTTCCTCATCAATGTGTACCTACATGTTTGCAAGGCGGGCAAAAAAACCTTCAATGGTCTCTACAGATTTTTGCAAACGGAACTTATAATAAATTCATCGAAAAATTCGATCCACAATTGTGGTCAATTACTACACGTGTGCATAAAATGTTAAGAAGTAAAAAAAGAAAAAAATGAAAAATGAATCTTATCTTGAGTAGTAAAGAAGGGGAACCAGTCCTTACATGGTTTTTCATGACGTGTAAATGAGTATCTTTAACTTCGTTAAATCAGAAGGTTGTATAAAAAATGTTTCCAAGCAGGTATTTCTTTTTTTTGACAATTATCACCAGTCCTGCAGGGTAAAAAGGCAGCACACTTGCTTTCCGGGGACGAAAGAAGATGGGGAAAAAAAAAAGGGTTAGCAGATCGATGCTATAAAAAAGGTAGGCAATTCCTTCCCACAGAAATAACACAATACGTATATAAAAAAAACAAGAAAAATGGGACACTTAAAAGAAGTGAACATATAAACCTGAACATATAAACGTGAACGTATAAATGTGAACCTACAAATGAGAAGACACAAATGGGAAGATACCAATGTGCACGTACACATGCGTTGTGCTTAGTACTCCTCACATGTTAACATCCTACATTTGGAAAACCGTGCGTCGCATTCTGTGCTCTATCAGTTATCCCTGCTCATTCACCTTTGTGTAGCAACTTGGACCAAGAAAGCTATGGACAATTGCACACTCTTTTGCATTTTTCTGCCTAAGACGATTTGTATATTCCTGTGAAGAAAGAGGAGTTTCCTTTCCTATTTTAGCTATGTTTTTAGCTTCTTATCGGTATTATTTTTTTTAATTTGTTTCTTATTTTCTTTGTGGGAATTGTCAACCCATTCGGTATTGGCTGCATCGGCATTCTTTGGAAAAGGACCTTTCAAAAAGGACTTTCAATAAGGATCTATTTTATGAAGATTTTTTTCTCTTTTTATCATTTCGTGGCATTCTTCAACGTGTGGAATTTTCTTTTCTTTTTCACACATTTTGATGTTTTTTACATGCCTCTTCTTTTTTTCCCACCCTTGGAATGTGTGTCTTTCTTTAGAGACTATGTTTCTCTTATTAGTAGTTATTCGCATGAACGGTGTTTCCTCAAAATGTGTGTTTGCTCTGCAAGGGAAGAGTGTTTTCCTTTTCTTCTACTCCCTGGTGTACATTTCCGTGTGCAGTCGTGTTTTTCCCAGCTGCGGTGAACACATATTCCACGTGTAAGTGGCATGTAAGCGGTATATAAGCGGAGTACACGGAGAGATATGAGGCGAACACAGAGAGATATCAGGAAAACACAGAGAGATTTGAGGCAGACACCGAAAGATATGAGGCCAAGACAGAGATATAGGCGGCGTATAAATGTACATACGCGGCTTATGACGGCACAAATGTCGCATACTACCTCTCACAGGTTCATATGTCGACAAATAATTGCGCATGACGGCATCTTGCCAAGAACCGAATGAGTATCCCCACATGGAAATATATACCGGCGCGCATACCGCCTCCCCACACTTTTGTCGGATAACCGGTGTTTACCCCATTGGCGGATAACTAAACCTCTTTTCGTTCGCGCAAATGTAGTGATTCACCATTGCGATGCCTTCCTACTATCACGTGAATTTTGAATGTTGATTTGCTCTCCCGAAATGGCTTTCCAGATGATCTACATACAGTGAGGAATTGGGCTCAAAGAACGGTTTGACACGTCCGCATTATCCTGTTGGGCATTCACCCTTATTTCGTCTTTCAAAGCAATAATAATTTTTGTTTTTTTCGTTTTCTTTTTTTTGCACAACAGTATCCACAGAACGTCTTAGTTACACATGGCGGCAAACAAATTGGCTCAAATGTTTTTACAAGCGATATTTCGTCATGAGGGGGAAAGACATCGAAATTTTCGACAGAAAAAAAAAAGAAAAGGGAGGGGGGTGCATGAAAAGAAGGGGGAATTAGGCCCCTTCGCTTGTTGCACAGGAGGCAGAAAAAAAAAAAAAAAAGGATAATCCCACATGTGACAGCATCCGGTATAATAAAATGCGGTAAAAGTGTCGTAAGGGGGAAAATAAAAAAATCACCCACGCGGCTTGGCAGCTTACCCGAATTAAAGCTCCTTCTCAAACTTGTACAGCCTCCTTCCAAAGGATGCAACATAATTTCCGTCGATGCGCGGTGTAGATTCTTTTATTTTATTTTCTTTCTTTTCTCACCCCATCCGCACATTATGCCACTCTGATGGTTCGAAGATCATTGCAATTTGAATAAGACTGCGCATGGGAGATAAATCCGTTTTCATTTGGGACATTTTTACAAGGGAATGGCAAAATAAATGGGCATAAATGGGCTAACGCACGAGTGCACGCAGGAGAGAAGAAAAGTCATGCCCGTTTTTTTTCTCCTTTTTTTTTTTGCATCCATAGGCACACTTTTCTCCGTGTTACTCGTTCCTCGAACGGGAGAGGTAGCCCACAAAAGGAAGCTCTCTATGGCCATACTTAGCCACTTGTCGAAGTATCATATCTCCGATTACAATACTAGTGGAGGCTTCAATAATGGGGGGAAGTCTCGGCAAAATGCAGCAGTCATGCATTCCTCTTACTTTCAGTTTGCACTTTTGTCCAAAAAAATTACACGTCTCCTTTTCTATCTGTATGGACGATATTGGCTTTATGGCCGATCTGAAGACAATATTATTTCCTGTTGTAATTCCTGCTAGGATGCCTCCGCAGTTGTTAGTCGTTGTGACTAATAGTTTTTCGCTACTATGATGATAAGTTTTTCGCCTCGATTCGTTGATGAGGGGATAGGATCCATTTGAGGGATGATGCGACCGATGGGGGTCATCTTTTTCGTAAAAGGTGCTCTCCTCTGCATGACCCCCCCTTGGCGTCATTTCTCCTCTTTTGCTGTCAAGCTCATCGATGACAGTCCACCCCCTTTGATAAGGCCTCTCCTCTGATTCATCCAACGTGCTGAACAAATCGTTATGATCCGACCCGAGCATGTACGTGCCGTCGAATCCACTACCAAATTCGATGCCCTTCACTGCTGGTATGGAAAGAATAATTTTGCCCAATTCTGCCTCCATTTTTTCAAAGATGGGTTCTCCAATGCCTATTGGCACGTTATGTACAATGCACGTGGCTACTCCCCCTACGCTGTCCCCCGCTTCTTTTAATTTTAAAATGTACGAACATATTTGGACTGCCGTAAATGGGTGCGGGCACCTCGTTTGCAGCAGGGTGCATTCGTCTGGGTTGCTCAAGAGTTCATGCGCGTTTGCGAGAGCACCATCGATGGGAATGGCTTCGCCAGTGGGAGCGACTCCCCCACAGGTAACTCCTCCTCCACAGGTAAATCCTCCCCCCCGCAGGAACTCCCCATCAGCGTTGTACACATTACCGAAGAAGTCGCTGAATGTACCTCTCCTCTGGTCGTACTTGACAGCCCCATGCATGTCGACAAAATCTCTCGAAGGCGGGTTGCGTTCGAATTTTCTGATGATCTCCTCAGGTAATCTTATATGCCCTACAGAATGGACATAACAAACGATGGTACAATGGTAAAAATTTTTTAACCATTGCTCTATGCAAGCACCTGCTGCCACACGGGTAGCTGTTTCTCTCCCAGAAAAACGACTACTTCCACTTTTATTTTTAACATTATATTTTTTAAAATATGTGTAATCTCCATGCCCCGGTCTCGGAATGTCTATGAAGGAGGAATAATTTTCCTTTTTCACATCTTCATTGTTAATTAAAAAAGTGATTGGAGTTCCCAGCGTTTTATTCTCATCAAAACCGGAAAGGACAATTAATTTGTCCTGTTCATTTCGGTTACTCGTTAGCTTGGACTGATTTGGTCTTCTCCTATTTAGCTGTTTTTGTATTAAGTCGAAATTTATTTCTATGTTTGGCAGAAACCCATCTATGACGCACCCGATTGCTTTTCCGTGGCTCTCTCCGAACGAAGTGACCTTCAGCAGGGTCCCATACGTGCTCATGTTGTGAAGGTGCGGTGGTGTGCAGATCTAGCGGTGTTGACATGTAGTGGTATGACGGTGTGATAGCTATGTGTCACTCACCACAGGGAGATGACCTGTGGCGAGAGACATCTACACAAAAAGATATTCCCCCCTTTTAAAGAACGCACGGCAGAATCAAATTCCCTTATCACACCTATGTGCGATGATCCGTTGCGCATGGGGAGATTTAGAAACTACTAATTGTATATGCAAAATGGAAGCCTCAAAGCGAGTTGCCATCTTTCCTTAATGGCGGTCGAAAATGGAGATAAGATGCCGATAAAAGCTTCCTCCTTTGCTCTTTCTCCTTTTTCTTTTCTTCTTTTTTCTTTCTCCTTTTTTCTTTTCTGTTTTTTTTTTTTTTCAACTGGGTTCTTCTCCATTTAGTGCTCCCTATTTTTCTCTCTGCAAATACCAATTTTGTGTAGAATGGAAAGCGACAAATGCTTCTAAAGGGGGTTTTCCCTGTGCATTCATCCACTCGTCGTGGTACGTGCGCTTTGGGGGGGGAGGTGGGACTTAGGTTAGTTAATCCCAAGGGGGCGGAGCGCCAAAAAAATGTAGAACGGGCGCCGTGATCCGGTGCACATAGGGTATACATATATATATATCTACATAGGCATGTGCTTCTTCTTCCTTTTCGAGGGCATTCCTGCCAGGCGAACGCAAAAACTTCCCCGCATGGTGGTTTCGGTCGATGGGACAGAAAGACCCTCATCGAGGAAGAATTATCAACTCAAAGAAATAAATCGTCAACCTTTGCTTCCTCACGCACATGCACAATGTAGAACGCTTGAGAAAAAACATATTCCCTCCTGTCACCTTCCCATGACAGCGTCTGTCTGCGCATTTTTGTTTTTCAATATGACCAAGAAAAAGAAAATTGCTTTAAGGGTTGCTTAATTTGTACGAGAGTTTTGTTCATTGTTGGAATAAATTAAAATTTGTGAACTTTGAAAAAAGAAAAAGAAAAAAAAAAACAACACAATGGTACAACATAATACAATACAACATTGCAAAATTAATCGGCAAAAAAAAAGAGAAAAAAAAAAAAAGAAAAAGGAAAAAACAAGAAGAAATCTATATACATAGGTGTGTATGTATATATTCACACATAACTCATAACTCTTAATTCATAACTCATGATTCATAATTCACTATATACCTAGGGGACGATTAAAAGCTGATAATAGGATGGGGGGGCGGCAGAAGAGGAAAGCTGAAGTCAAGATAGTGACGATGATGAGGTGAGATAATTAAAAAGATGGAAAAAAAAAATTGCACATGTCATAGATGAAACAGAGAAGTTTTCTTTTCTTCTTCTTTTTCTTCTTCTTGTTCTTCTTTTTCTTCTTTTTTTTTTCTTTTTTCGGGTAAGAATTATGGGGGTAAAAAAAAATAATACGTATGATGCGCGACGCGGATGTCCCTCCCGAAAGGCACACGGCAAACGAAAAACCCCACGAGCGCTGCAAACTGCGAGGCACACAAAAAGAGAGGAAGCGCAATCGTTACAATTTTTAATTATCCTGCGGTGGGTTTATGGCCCCTTTTTCTTGTTTCCCCCCTTCTGCGGATGCGGCAAATACGGCTTCCGGTCCTGCTCCTACCCCGGCTACACCGTCCGGGTTAACTACAATGTCAAAACAGTTGTAATCGAGGGTTCCTTTTTCATTTGTCGTATTAGCGCATGGGTCTTCTTCGATTTGATACCCATGGGATTCTCCTCCCACGTCATCAGGTGGGACACAATCTTTCGTCTCTTCATTTGCGGGGTCAACCCCTTGTTCCTCGCCCACGATCTGCCCTCCATTTTGCTCCCCTAAATTGTTTTTCCCATTCGGTTCACCTCCATGCTCGTGTGTCATGTTGTCCTGATTCAATTCTTGTCTCTCTACATCCAGCATACTCTGCAGGTATTCATTCTCATTGTAACAATTTTTTGCTCTGTTGTCCTTTTTCATTTCAGGTGGGGTCTTCGGCATGCTGATGGAAATCTGGGCTACCTTATCATCAAAATTGGTGCCGCTGTTATTCCCTTTGTCGTTTTTATTTATTAATTTCTTGTTGAGGAAGTATCCGTTCATACCAACTTCGGGCAGATTCTACAAGAAAGCAGGAGGGATACCATGAGGTTACATGTGGGGTGAGCAAAGGGATGGTGAAAGGGGTGGTCAAAGTGATCCTTAATTGCCTACGAACAAAAGATGCTCATAAACTCCAGTTTTACCGCTGTGTCCACGTGGTCATGCGAATAGTTGCAGTAGTAGTTCGCGCAGTACAAACCTAGGGGGGCGAGGAGTGAAGGAAAGAAACGTTAAAAGGAGGGGAAAACGGGGTGTAGCGCTCTTCCTGGGAGAAGTACTATCCACACGTGGAGTTATTCTCCAGTAGGCTGCTACTCCAATAGCTCCATTTTGCTTACCAAATTTACAGGGCACATTGGGGTGGATGTAGATGCACTCAGATCCAAAGGCGCAGTACGGCCAATTGCGGCACTAGGAGGAGGGAAGCGAAAGAAAAAAAAAAAAAGTCAGCGGGGAGATGACGATGTCACTAATGGTGAACATCACAAGGTGGTGATCTACATTGGCGTGGATGAAAAACTCGCAGACTCGCAAAATAATCGCAGTGTCCATCTTACGTTTTCCACAGGGTGAATGTAACGACACTTGTCTCCATACTGGCAATTCGGCAGATAGAGGCACTTCTTGGGAATCTGTTCAGAGGGGAGGCATTAAAGGGGAAGAAATGAGGAATGGCAGAATGATAACTTATATGTGCTGCGTAACCAAAGTGGATTGAAAAACACCACGGGGGAGGGTGGTAAAATAATTTGCACACTTCTCACCTTTGCAACGGTGCCCTTGCCATCCGCTGGGAAGTCCACGTTGGGTCCCTGGGGCGCGTCTGCACAGAGGAGGGAAGGGGGGTATTATAAGCGAAGGAACATATATGGACTGGATAGAAACGATACGAAGAAAACGAATTTTACAAACATTCGTGAAGGAGACGTGGCTTTAAAGAAGAGTGCGTCTTGCGAGGAATTTCTCCTCTTTCTGGAACACTTACCTGCATTGATTAGCCCACTCGAATTCACGCCGCTGTCGCCAATCCCGTGAACCCCTGCTTCTGCTGACCCTTCCATTTGCTGTCCTAGAGACAATTGCTGGCCATTTTCCTTCACAGCAGCTTGGTCATTTTTGGCCCTATCAAACTGCACCTTCTGTTGCGATATGGAAGAAGCATGGTTTGACGGGTTGATCCCATGGGGCGGCTGATCTTTCATAGGAAATCTTCTCTCCGTCGGCATATGATGTGTATTAAAATGTTTCTTTCTTGTATTCAAAGGAGGCGTGAACGTAGCAGGTGTAAAAGTTGGCGGCGTGTATACCGGTAGGGGCGGATTATACGAAGGAGGAGGTGGAGTGGGCTTTGTCATGTTATTCGTGAAGAACATATTGTGTTGATTATTCCTCGGATTCAGTGTGCTGTTTTATGTTTTAGGAAGTGGGGGTGGGAAGGGGGATAAGTAAATTAGTGAAGAAAAAATACACTTCTTCGTTTGCAGATGGGGTTTTCCCCCGAGCACACTGTTATCCATCACATCGTTCAGTAAAATTGGGATGGATAAGATATATTGTCCCGTTTATCTACGCTGTTAACATACCTATTAGGGTTCACATAATTTCCTGGGGGAGGAGGACCTTGTTTATTCATGTGCGAATTAAAATGCATTCGATTGGAGTGATGCGGGCCGCTGTTCGGGTGCATATTATTAACGAAGCTATTATTATGCATGTTGGGCGCCATAAAGTTGTTACCACCGATGGTATTATTATCTATTAGCTTCTGCTGACTTAACAGGTAATTTCCTGCATGGTAATTCGCCCCTGTAGGGTTCATTCCTTTCTCGTAACTCGACTGCCCGCCGACGTCTTCGTATTGGTAGTTCATGTGGTAGTTGGGCATATCGTGATTCGCCATGCCTACAGCAGGAGATGGGGAAGAAACAGGTGTGGTATGGGAAAATGAATTGATATGCAAAGCGTTACACACTCGATGGTGTCGCATGGGTGGTCGGGGGGGCACACTATCTCGAGTACTATCGCTCTATCTCTTAAGGGTCCCCCAATTGACTTACTCGTCGCGGCTGGCTGCAAAACTGGAACGGGTTTATCTCCTCCGAACTTGGGATTGGGTCTAAAAGAAGGTGCAAAAAAGGTGCAAAAAAGGTGCAAAAAAAAAAAAATGTTGGGGCGATTCTTACAAATGTGTATATGCCCCCAAACGGAGACACCTCCTTCATGTACGCAACATGGGGTGAAGAAGAACCACATGCGATTTCTCTTCTTTTTCCCCTTTTCGCCCTCTCAAAGTTGTGATTACTTTAGAACGGCCTTATTCTTCTTTTCGTTGGAGCTGTAGTCATCCTCGTTGTCGTCCATTCGCCTGCCTTCCAAATCTGCGTTTCGAAATGGAAGGGGAAAGAAAAAAAATGAACATTCACATTGACGTAGCCTTTAACGTTAATGTTTATGTTAACGCTTATGTTAATGAGAGGGTCTTTTTCGGAACGGCTGCCTCGGCATGGCAAATGTCCAAGTGGTCAATCGCCCCTCCTCATGTAGAGGCCATTGTAGAACACTGAAGAGCTATGCATGCACATATATCTGGGCACATCAATGTGAACATCTTAAGGCACGCAGTGGGAAGGTGTTTATTACCATTCCTGTTCTGAGCACCGTCCTGAAGTAATTCAACCTTCCTCAGTTTTTTCTCTTTCTCGTTTTCCACGTAGATGACTCTACTCGTGCCCATCGAGTGACTGCCACTTCTTCCGACCCTTCTGTACTTAACATCATCCCTTGATTTCATTCTATCCATTTCTTTGTCGCCTCTCTTGGATCTAGGTCGGTTACCGCCGTAATGAAATTTTCTCGCGTTCACGCTAGATGATACCGATCTTGTGCCTATTCCTCCTCTTTGTCTTTTTTTGCTTCTCCTTCTGTTAAAAGAATCTGCATCGTTCAGCGAGTAGCCGCTGCTTCGACTTCTGCTTCTGTAACTTCTGGATCGCCTCCTTGTAATGGACGTGTCTCTCCTACTGGAGTCGTAATCCCTTTGATGGTCCTGTGAAGAGGAGGAGTGGGCAACAGGTTTCTCAAAATAAGATGCGTGCAGAACGGAGGAAGGGTACAACAGTATTGCAAATTTTGAAATGTTTTTTTTTTTTCCTATATTTTTTTCTTTTTTTTTTTTTTTGCTATCCACACAAAAAGCATAGTCCCATTTTTCCACATCGCAGTCGTCCAAATGGAAGACGTGGACAACGACGAGTCACGAACCTTCGTTCTCCTTCCTTGAGTGCCGGAATGTCTTGATTTGGATTCTACAAAGGGGGAAGGGGCAAGGAAGGTAAACATTTAGTGGGGGGGATCAGAAGTAGGCACACATACGAACGAGCCATAAGATCAATACATACGGTTAACCCATACGGTTAACCCATAAGGAGTGTACACGAATGCGGGGTTGGGGGGGGCACCCCCCATTTTGGGAGTGAATAAATGAGACTTACCTATGCTCCTGTTGGAGCGAGAAGTTTCGCCAGGATGCCTATCCTTGGCACTCTCGGATTTATACGACTTCTCATTCTTCACGGAGCTGTCACTCTTTAATGGTTTTTTTATATCACCCATAAACTTCATTAGCCAGTTGACAAAGACCGTGGTCTACGTAATGGGAAAAAAAAAAAAAAAAAAAAGGGGGGAGGGATAGTACCGGATGGAGACCATTCTGATATGCTTAAGTATGGCCCACGCAGGACAGAAAACAGGGGAAGAGCCCTATGTGAAGACACAACAATGCCGCTTCGGGGGGATAGGTTCCTCCTGGCAGTAGGGGAACCCCCAAACATCTCGGTCATGCAAAATTACGTGGTCTCCCAGGAAATCCTTTAACTCGTTGGATATAAACTCTCGTGTACTTTTGGCATTTCCAGCCATGTGCCAGACGTATTCAGTCAATATGTCTACTTCATATTCACCTAACAGTTCCCTTAATTTATCCGTAATAATATTTTGGTATTTTTTCTCTTCGTCTTTGTTGCTCATCATCATTGTTCCTTTGGCGATTGGACAAAGAGAGGGGTTATGGTCTGGCGATTCCACTAACTGGGTGGTCTCGCAAGGGTCCTCCTCGCTACGGACCTGTGCACCAGTGGGGTGTCTATAGGGAAAAGTATAGATGGTATATATGCTATATATGGTATATACGCTACAGGCATATGCGTACGTTTATATGTGTATAATACATCCACGTCGGATCTGCATGTGTGCACAAGGGAGGCTCCTTCTCTGGGCTAACTGGCTCCCTCAAATGTTACTTCTGTTCACTCAATGTGGCTTCTGTTCACTCTGCGGTAGAGCCGTTTGTTCTCATTTTAGCACTGGTGCTTGGAGGACCCTTCCCAAATTGGCAAACGGTTGGGCAACTAGTTCGTTTTTCCTTCTTCCTTTGTCTCTCCGTTCATACAGTCTAGGGAAATCCTTCCACTCTACGTTTTTGCCAATCCCGTTTTTCACAGAAAAAATTGATCCAAAATGTATTTACACCAATAGTTTTACGTTAATTTTTTCAGGGTGGGGGCACATCTGAAGCTGAACATCGCTCTTCTGTGTAGACTCCCAACCAGTTCTGCATTTACATCGGAGTGTATAATACACTCATAAGGCTTAGGCTCCTGTGTTTGCAGCGAATTCGCTCTGCAAAGAGTCACGGGAGGACACAAGTCCACTTCTCCTTCGTTCTATTCACGTACCTTCAGTTTCCTCCTCTTTAAAAAAAAAGTATACTGACGGGAAGCCCGCCCTCTCCGGTCGTACCTTTCAATTTTGTATTTAAATGAAAATACGACAGTTTTCCTGTGGATTGTTACTGCGGTAGAACGCGCTGCATTTTTTACGTACCCCTTTGCAATGCTGTATTTCGAAGAGAAAAAAGAAAAAAAAAAAACGAGCAAACAAGAAGGCAAACAAACAAACAAACGCTTCGCCTTAATTCAGTTCAGTTCAATTCACTACTCTGGGCACAGAAATGAACCACAAATGCGGTCACATAACTGCCTGGCATAAACCCGCAAGTGTTAATATGCTTTTCCTTCTCATCTGTTCGCTCAGTTCGCGTAGTTCGCCTCAGATGATTGTTGGGATGTTTTTTTTTTTTTTTTTTTTCTTCTTTTTCAGCTATCGCTCGGTGGCTGCTTTGCCATTCCTTTCCTTCTCTGATGTTTGTTTTGCTCTTCTTCATAGTAAACCGGTTGCTTATTGTTTCTGACGAAGCAGGTACATCTTCCTTAACTGCTGCGTCGTATTGCTACACTGCTATAGTGCTGCATTGCCACATTGCTATATTACCTTGCCACTTTATGACATTGTTTCTTTTTTTTTTTTTTCTTGCGAAGTGCCCCCACCACAGTGATGTGGTACACGCATGTGCCTTTTTTTTCTTTTTTAATCCCGCAAAGGTATACATACAAACCGCACGTACGTACGTTCTCGCGCGGAAGTATAGGCCCAGGGGCTCGGGCTTACGAATTGACCACAGCTTATCCTGACACGTAGGGGGGAGGAAAAAAGAACATCTACATCGATAAAATACCTATCTATGCGCCCTTTGTGCCGAGCTGGAAAGTGGTACGCCTATTTGCATATATACTTGCACATATAAATGTATTTATACACGCACGGGAGAACATTCCCATGTGCGTGCCTCCCAACTATAAGCGGCAGATAAACACGACTGCGAAACGTGTGGCATTTGAGCCATGGCAACGTAAATCCTGTTACTAAAATCGATTTCGTGAATTTTTTTTTTTTTTTTTTTACCTGATAGAGGAACTGAAAAAAATACGGCGAATACAGCCACGGGGGGAGGAGACCACAATGGGTGAAGCATTCGAGAAGAAAAAAAAAAATCAAAAGAGGAAAACAACTGAGTACCGTCCATTAGTGCAATCCCTTTTTGAAAACTATACGGCACACACCTTATGTTCACTTAAGGAGGTACAGTAGTAAAAAGCAGTGACTGTGTAGTCCCCCTTTCCTTTCTCTTTTACAAAAAAAAGGAATAACCACAACGCCGATCTGTCATCACATCTTTTTTTTTTTCTTTTTTTTTTTCTTTAACAGCCCTATCAGCGTTATTTTTATCACCACACGATGAGGGGTAAACCATTTTTGAGAATGTAACGCGGATGAAAGGGGCTGCGTCTTCCTGCATGACGCAGATATCTCTGTTAAAATTTTCCAACCGGGGCGAGTGCCTCTCCCCACGGAATATGCACCCCCATGAGGAAATCTCTGACCAGCAATAGTTT